ATATAATCTAAATGGGCTAATAAATGAGCGGGAGAATTCACCCCATATGTAGTATATTTAGGTATAAGTTAAGTGGACTAATAATTGAGCGATAAAGTTCTCTCTCTCTCGTTCTCTCATATGTTGTACTTTTAGGTATAAGAAGAAGATCGGACTAATCATCAAGAGGAAGATTTCTCTCTCTCATACGTAATACTTTTAGATATAAGTAGATAAATGGACTAATAATTGAGCGGGAGAATTTTCTCTCGCATGTATTGCTTTTAGGTATAAGATAAGCGGACTAATAAGTTAACGGGACAATTATCTATCTCATAAGTAGTTCTTTTAGGTACTATTCCAAAAGAATATTTTACTTTATTACTAGAATAGATAGTATATATATATATATATATATATATATATATATATATATGTACCCACCGCTCTTTCCCGTGCGTATGCACGGGTATTATACTAGTATAAATAATTGTAATATATACTCCGTGGAATAATATTAATATTAATTATTAATTACTTAATGATATAATGCTATTACATCAGGAGCCTGTTTGGTAACACCGGGATCGACTGATTTTGCTGAAATTTCTGAACTTATAACTGATTCTGCCGAGTTTTGAAAAATGTATATTTAAAATATATTTACTAATAAAATAAAGAAAAACTTATATAAAAAATAATTAAAATGGTCACTTGCAGTAACTTTGGCCAATACAACAAGAAAATTGACTTCAACCTTACATTTTCGTATTATTATATTCCGTACAATTTTAGCGTGTGAAATCAAAAGTTACGTGTTTGGTTAAAAAGTATCGGGAAAGTTGACCTCGTGTCACGCGCGGGATTCCTTTCCCAAGAGAAGCTCGTCCCGATTGACGCGGCTGGATAAATTGACATGCGTTATCGTTTAATGTAATGTACCCCGCTGGGTGCAATTCGTCGCTTGATTACATGGCCGCCCGGGCTTCTCCAAATGAGGTCAGCGAGTCAACAACCTAGCACGCAGGACTGATCCGCCCTTATTGTTGCTCAGGCTCAAGGCATGGCTCTGACCGCCCAGCTCAGCATCGCATCGTCAGCTTGCACTATCCTCGTGCAAGTCAATATGCCGAACGGCTCAATAACTCCGCAGTCCAGTATTTGACACCCGACTGTAGCCAATAAATTGATCTTCCATCTAATTAAAGGGGTTCAGGGAAGTACAGTACCTCACATGTTGAGGGAAGCTCGGCAAGCAAGGGGGGACACTATGATCCGTTGGCAGATTTCCTCAAGAGGCTAGAGCGGCGAGGCACAACTTGCTGGCCGTCTAGCTCATACATATATATGCTCAACCTGCTAACGAAGCATATAGCTCCCTGACCGTCAGTCCACCGCCGGTTTCGGGTGTTCAGCGCTGATGGCCGTTCGGTGCAGTCTAAGAAACCAAACTCAAGTAGAGCACCAAGGAGTTGAGAGATGCATGTGAGCCCCTGCAGCGTCAAGTTTAAAACCTGGGGTTGTGACAACGTCCGTCCTCAGACCGGATCAGTTCGTCCGCCACCACTGTTAACTACCCATCCAGGGGGCACAGACACCCAGTACGCACGGCGTTTGCTAAAGCTCGGCGAACGCAGCAGCTCGTCACTGGGAATGCCATGGCGCTGCTTTCGAGCGTGAACCACCCGAAATGCAGCCCAACTGGCACCCAACACCCACTCGCCCGGACTCAGGGAGTCTTGAGCATCACCTAGGTCGGCCTGATTAAATGAGCTCCAGTACCGCAACTGCCAGCCAATGGAGGCCGCTAGGAACACAGGCACTGGACGCTCGGCGGAATTGGTAAAGCGTGGCCGCCGGCTCACGCATGCTCCAGCCTCCAGCCAGGGGAAATTTCAGACGTCCGTCCTTCACCATGTCATGAAGTTCCCCAACCTCCGTCGGACACCTCATGGCCCGCCGCTCGTCCTGTGGCCCGTTGCCGCACGACACTCATTGACGCTCGACCTCAAGTTGATAATATTGAAAGCTAGCGTTTTTTAGAACTGGGAGTTGGGCTAGATTCTTTCATGCTCCAACAAGATTCCTTTTAAGGGACCATGCACGTATTGGGCTGCATGTCCTCTCTGGATCAAATCCAAACAATGGCCCGGACGAATCTAAGTACACATGCCCTCTTATTTATTTAAGTGTTGCTATTATTTCATCACCAATATTTAATAGCGATTAAAATGTCCCGAAATAAATAATGTCGAGCGAAGCTCGGGGATGAGCTTCCACCGACATTTTAACCAAATAGTTAGGGGACGAGTCGAGGGTCATCGCACCCCGAGGCCGACGGTCACGTCCGGAAGAGCCTCAAGCCGACTCACAAAAAAGGTGTGCAGATATACATATTGTTTGGCCATTTGGCTGCATTATTATGTTCATTGTGCAGATATGATGCTCATAATAAATCTCGGTGAGAAGTGCCATAGTGGAGACGAGCTTCTCCACCCCAAAGGTTAAGGGTCGGGAGACGAGCTTCTCCACTCCAGAGGCCGAGGGCCTGAATACGAGCATCTTTTAGCCAAAGGCCAAGGGCTTAGAGAAGGCCTTCACGGCCAAGTGTCGTGGATGATCATCTCTGCCCCGGAGGCCGAGGGCCCGAAGACGAGCTTCTCCACTCCAGAGGCTGAGGGCTTGAAGACGAGCATCTTTTAGCCAAAGGCCAAGAGCTTAAAGAAGACCTTCACGGGCAAGATCCGTGGACGAACATCTTCCATCCCAAAGGCCGAGGGCCTGGAGACGAGCATCTTCCACCCGGATGTTGAGGGCCCGAAGACGAGCTTCTCCACCACAGAGGCTGAGGGCCTGGAGACGAGCATCTTCCACCTGGAGGCTGAGGGCCCGAAGACGAGCTTCTCCACCCCAGAGGCCGAGGGTCGGGAGACGAGCTTCTCCACCCCAGAGGCCGAGGACCTAGAGAAGACCACCAGAGGCCGAGTGCCTGGAGACGACCATCTTCACTAGAGGCCGAGAGCCAAGGAGGAGCATCTCAGCCAAGGACCGTGAGACGCGCAACACATCCTGAGACCGAGCATGCCCAGGCTGAGCATGTCGAGGTCGAAAAGTACCAAGGAGGTCGAAAATCTCTAGGAATTCGAGCCAAGGATTGTCGCTGTATGACGAGGTCAGGGTGCCCCTGGGTCGTGCATCAAGAGCAAGGACACATCTAGCCCGAGTTTCTAGGGACGAACGTCCAAAGGAAGTCGGGTCGGATTTTTAGGGACTAATCTTTCTAAGCATGTCGGGCCGAGCATCCAGAAGAAAAAATCCAGAGCCCCAACAACTAGAGATCGAGCAGGCTGACCGTCAAGGGGCCGAACGTCCGAAGAAGCCCAACCTAGCATATGGAGGTCGAACGTCTCTAGGAATTCGGGCTGAGGATTGTCGCTATATGATGACGTCGGGGTGCCCTCGGGTCATGCATCAAGAGCAAGGACACGTCTAGGCCGAGTTCCTAAGGGTCGAACGTCCAAAGGAAGTTGAGTCAGGCATTATCCGCGGACCGAACGCCCCAATCCCTCAGACCTAGGCCAAGGCATTGTTAAGCCCTTGCTCCGAAAGACGAGGCCATGTGTAAGGAAGACAAAGGAAGAGCACATACAGGAGCATACTTTCTCGAGCAGATTCACACGCTCACTACTCAAGAAACTGATGGACTTATGTTAAGGTATATTATCCCGGCCTACTATTGTTCAAAGGCCCAAGATATTACCCCAGTCCAGAGCCCGAATGGCGAGGGCCATTCCAGCCTATCAGGCCTATTTCGGCCTTAGGGCCCCTTTTGGTCCACTTGGCCCCTTAGGGTAATTTATCCCTTACCCCTTTTTCCCTATAAATATGGGGTTTTCCCTCCATGTTATGGGTTGGTCCTTTGATCTTCTTTTAGCTTCTTCTTCCTTATTTTTTTCTAGCTTAGTTCATCCTCCGTTAATTGGAGCTCAACAAATTGTACTATGTAATTTTAAACAAAAGAAAATTGGTGTAATAATATACTAATATGGATGTGTGTTTTGATGAAGATAGGAGGCATCACTATTTTAAGCAGCAATTTTAAGGAAAGTAGTAGCATATATAACAATTTAATACTCCATATCCTTAATGGTAATTTTACATTCTATCAGTCATTTCAGTCAACATACTACCAAACACTTTCACTTTAGCGGGTTCAGCCTTTTCAGCCATTACAGCTGTTACCAAAAAGACCCAAGGTGTGTTTCACATCATCTGTTCCCACTTTTTCTCAACTCTGCACAACCTTATGCTACACATTTCCCATTTTTTGAATCTGTGTGCCAAGTTTGACATGGAGTTAATATTAGAATACTAAATAGGCCCTAATTTCAAAAAAGGAAAAATAGACATGAATAATCCCAACTATTAGCGATATGCTTGAAGTAGTCCGAAGTATCAATTATCTCAAAACAATCCCAATTATTGAAAATTCTTCTCAAAATACTTCAGTGACTTATCATTATCCGTAAATAATGATTTTGAGTAAGTGGAATATTTTGAGTAATATTTTTCAATAGTTGGAATTATTTTGAAGTAATTGATACTTTAAATTATTTTAAGTAGATCATTCAGAGTTGAGATTATTTTTGTCCATTATTAAAAAAAGTGTACCTCAATAGTTTTGTCCATTATTAAAAGAAAAAATTGAAAATAATAATCCCAACTATTGTCGATCCGCTGATAATAATCCCAACTATTGATCATTTTTGTATAATCCCAACTATATGGACCGTCCGCCAATAATCTCAATTTTTAATCTTTATACATAATTTCTATTTAAATTCACTTTTATAGGAGGTAATATCTGGTCATGAATCATTATTGACGGAACGTTCCTAAAATTGAGATTATTATAAAATAATCGATAATTGGAATTATTATAAGCGGATCGCCGATAATTGAGATTATTACAATCAATTTTTCCATATTAAAAAAAAGTGTACCTCAATAGCAAGTAAAAGTCCTATCAGCATTGGTCTCCGTCGCAAGCAGTCGAGCACAAATAGCACCAGTGTTTTATGTAACTTTTTCCCTCTTGACTTCACTGTTTCATACGGAGTACTCAATTTTTTCGGCTTTAGGGGTTCGGGAACAGTGGTGGAGTTAGGGAGTTAGTGGACGAGAGGATGGAGCCACCGGTTGCTGATGGCGGAGGCGACGGAGGAGGAGGAGGAGGAAGGAGGCAGCAACCTCAGCAGGCGGGTATGGGGCAGATGCTGACTGGAATAATTAGAATGGCGGTTTTCTGGTACTTCGCATCGAAGTTCTTCAGCCCCAAACGAGCCCCTTCCGATCCCTCTGCCCAGATCTCCAATCTATTTCATAAGGGCGAGCCCATGGTCAGTACCGTATCTGTTCCTCTGACTAGGCGGTGTGTTCTAATTGTTCGTGTAAATAGCTACATAGTACGAAGTACGGAGTAGTATTTAATCGCGGCAATTTGTTGCATATAATTCGTGGATGCGATAACTTAACTGTGATTGAGTGGCACAGTAAACACTGTACATACCTACCTTCCGGTTGCTCACTGCTGACAGATGTTTGGTTGATTTCGATGCGTAAATAGCAAAGTTCATATTTAATCTGAACTCTTGGGGGATTTGATTTAAAATTAAATTATACATACAGCACGGAGTTATGTTCTTAGGATGTAAGTTCTATCATTTCTATATTTTGGGCCTCTTGGCTTGTCACAAGAATAGGAAAAGTGGTTATGTACTCCGCAATATGGGAGCTTGGCTAGATAAAAGCTGCTGAGGTACTAGGGCCATTGATAGTTTTCCCATGTATACATGCTCAAGACGTCTCACAATTCACCAAAAGCATTGTGTGCATTGTTTGTGAAACTCAGAAATCAATCATCTTTCTACCTGCTAAACATCTTTGTCTCTTTCTTGGAGTTCAAAATATAGGGAATTAGGGATACACAAGTGTTGCAACTTCTCTGTAGAAAAACTATTTTCTTCTCTATACTGTGAAATTGAGCATAATCAAATCCAGTAATAGTATGTTGTTGAAGATGACTTTATAAACTAATTTTTTTTAATCTTGTTAGCGTAATTGAATGAAAATGGGAAAACAAAAAACTAGGTTACTTTTCGAGCACTTCAACAGTTCAACTGCAATGTATTTTCCCTTAAATGCTCAATCAAACAGTGAAATCAGTGCTGTGCCTTGAAAAGATAGCTTTACTAAGGAAAGGAAGCAAAAGAAACAGAACACTAAGGATTAAAGTTTGATATTTAATGTCTTATTTATATTGTCTGTTGTGGTTGAGGCGGGCGTTGAGCTACTAATCCTTGTATCTTTTAGGACAATAGAAATAATTTGATTGAGTTTTAGACTCTTGTATTTCAGAAAAAAGGTCTTTTTACTTTTCTCAGTTTTTTGTACTTGCACCAGAAGTGTCCCTGAGTTTGGAGTTGGTTTAACATTTTGTAGTCATCTGTTAGGAAAATTGGATACATCAAAAAATAAATATAATTACCATTGACATTAAAGTTTGTGTAACAATTTTTTTTTTTTGAAATTCGTTATCAGGATATGTGGTTATACATATCAGAACAAGAAAAGTTCCATGAATTTGGCAGTGAAACAGCACTCATTTGGCATGAGACAAATATTCCTTATGCTGTTTGGTCACCTGAAAGTACGAGATCTCTCTCTTTGGAGTACGTTCCAACTGAGGTACCATATATCCGACACTGGAACTCCACAAGATCAATATTTTTATATATTACGTAATATATTAATCACACATAATAGTTAATACTGTTATATTAAGTCCATATTGATTCAGCATATATGTTTTGTGCCCTCTAAAATGTTATCTTTTCTTCCATTACTTCGTGTTTCCTTGCTTGGTTGCTAATGAGATCCATGATTAAGTTGCATATTGATATATTTTTCAGGCGTTGAAACACAATGGGAGTCTTTATGCTCATGTTTTCTTTGCTCGCTCTGGGTATCCTGCAGATCCCAGTGATCCAGAGTACCAGCCATCAGCAACTTTTGGAAGGACACATTGTAAAATCCTGTCATTTAGCAATATCTATTATTGATACTCACTCCCCTTTCGTATAAAAAAATATTTCATTGGGGAAGTAGCTATTCTGACTTTCTTTATTGAAAAATCCAATCAGCTGTTGTCACATATTTACCCAAGTCAAAGGCTGATAAGAAAAAGAGCCTGTTAAGCAATTCTGAAGATCCTAAAGATCAATCAGATGCACCCAAGGTACCTTTTGTATGGCTCATATTTGTATCCAAAACTAGCTGAATCGATGTGATCGGCCTTCTACAGCCTACACTCAGTTTCCTGTTTTATGCAGAAAAAGTTGTCTTTGGGAAGTGATGTCCAGTCAAACTATTTGTAGTTGACTTCTGAAAAGAAACAAAACCAAAGCTTGCATATGAGTTTTCTTTTCACACAGTTTTCCCAAAATTTAAGATGTTCACCACACTTGGAGCCCAAAATTATCATGAAGATTTCTATAAAAAACTTGTTCATCGTGATCATTGAAAAGTTACTTTTGGCTTCAGGTATTGGAAGAAGACCCTACTGACACCAAAGAGGATGTCCCAATTGAATGGGTTTCATATTGGAAACCCAATCTTACTATCAATTTGGTTGATGATTTCACTAGGTATCATTTCTTTTAAGAGTTATGCCTGCCTTCTTTTTTGATAGTTTATCTTTTACTTTTTAGTAATGTCCAGTTAGAGCATGTTGTCTTTTGCTGTCTATGGTTTGTAAAGCATTTGTATATCTATTTGTTAACAGAAATCGCCCTAAAAATGCGTAAAACAATGTAAAATTCTAAAATAGGACTGATACATTTTTCTTCCTTAAATAGGAGCAATTACTGTTGTGTTTGAAAAATATTGCCAACTATGGCATAAATACTGCCGGTATTAATGCTTGATAATGCCAAAATATGGCAGTACGATTTCAGGATGACAGTTAATCCTAAATGGGGGAAAACACAGTTCTTCTATTTTGGAATTTTACATTTTTTTATTCCTATTTTGGGAAATTTTCATTTGGTAATGGTTATGCGGTAGCATTATTAGAGTTGAGTGCTATCTACTTTATCAAGCTAAAAAAGTGCACATTGCGTTTGTAGAATGTTTTTATACTTTGATGCTCTCTGCCATTTTTATCCATCATTAATGAAGAGCATCTGGAATTAAGTGATTAAACATTTACAAATTGCTAGTCACAGAGTCTAAACAAGTTCATGTTATGGTGAGGACTGAGGATTTTAGAATCGGATGCAAACTTTAAACATTTGGCGTTACCATATTAGTGACGACTGATGAGCTTTTTTCCAATGGTTTGTAAAAGCGTAGACTGTGGAGTAACATTTGCCTATTTCGGTTAGCACCAAATGCTGTGCAAATTTGACTTTTGTGTTCTATGGAGTATCATACATGATAGAACAGTTTTACATAAAATGCATGTCCCATTACCCATTCTTTATATCACCAACTTTTGAATGTAGTCACCCGCCTAGACACCTATTCAATTTGTAGGACCTGCGTAATTGCTTTATATACTCTTGGTTTTGCTGTTCTCAAGAATTAGATTAAAATGAAAAACATGTACATTTGCTTGGGCCGAGCGATAAGTATTTAGTTTCTGCCTAGATCAATTGTATTCCAGGTGTATATAGGTCTTCTTCTTGTTATGGTTTTTCTTTTAGCCAGTAGGTTAGGCCTTCTTTTTGGCTATGTTTTGATGAATATTCTCTCTTCTTTCAGATTATATTACAAGTTGGTTTTATGATATCCTAGTCACGCAGAATACTAATGGTTGATTTCTTTTTCAGATATAATCAGAATGCAATCCCACCAAATATTGCTCCTTGTATCCTTCATCTATGTTTGTTTCATTGCTAATTTATCTTCTTTTTTGCGCGTGGAGGATTGATCTGATTTTGTTTGTCTCCTGTTTTCTCTATTTATTATTTTTTTTAACTCTGGTATTGTATTTCAATTCATGTTAAGCTGAACCCAAACTATTTTGGGAATAAGGCTTGGATGTCGTTATAGTTGTTGTTTGTTATTCAGCAAGACTGATTCCTTAACAACAGTTTTCAGTCATGAACATTGATCCTACTACAGGAGACTACTATCCTACTGTATTCTTCAATGAGTTTTGGTTACTTAGGAACAAGTTAATACCCATCAATGATACAGTAACAAAGTTGCCACTGCATCTTGAGGTTAGTCCCATAAGCATGACAAAGTGGCAACTGTTCCTGCAAATAGATCAATCTTTTCAGATTCACCGGAGCTATGGAAGCATGATTGAAGGCGAGTCTGATGAACTGAAGGTTAGGATTTACTAATTTGCAACTGCGAATTGGTCAGAAACCAGCAAATTTGCCTTAAAACATCATATTCCTTTCAGCATCACTCTTTCTGACATTGTTTTTTGAATTGCACTTTTCAATTTTGCTCATCATTTTTGCAGAGGGTCTTTTTGGAAGGGAACCCATACCTTCTTGTGGTTACAATGGTTGTATCACTGTTGCATTCTGTGTTTGACTTCTTGGCGTTCAAGAATGGTAAGACACTCTGTCATGGTATTTCCTCATATCCATAAGATATAAATGCAAGTTTCCTGGACAAATTATGATTAAAAATCATTGCACACTTTCAGATATTCAGTTTTGGAACAAAAACAAGTCCATGGAAGGTTTATCTGCAAAATCAGTTGTTGTGAACTTTATTTCCCAGCTCATTGTCTTCCTTTATTTACTCGACAATGAAACTTCATGGATGATTCTTGCAAGTTCTGGTGTTGGTTGTTGCATTGAGTTCTGGAAAATAGGAAAGGCCATGCACATAGAGGTATGCATTACATTTCAATTTTCTTCCTGTAAATACTTGACAATAGGATTTTGTGGGCGATTCATGCAAGTCTCAATCTTTGTTATTACAACAACAACTTCCTAGCCTTAATCCCAAAAGAATTCGGGGTCGGCTAACATGAATCGATCTATGATATCGATGCCAAACAGAGAAGTCTCAGTGTATGTTGTTGCTTTGCAAAAAAGCATGGTTTCTATTGGAAGTTTTTTTTTTGACAAAACCGGTCAATTCTGCAGGTATGACTGGTCTGAGTGGTGGACTGACTGACTGATTGAGCGTCTGAGTCTAACATTTGTCTTGTTTAGCACATGAGTGTGATGGTTCAGAGTTTAGACTTTTGATTACTCAACCAGTCCAAAAAACACATTAGTCATTCCATAGACATCTCAACTCCAAGGCTATACATTTGTGCTGTTTCGTTGGATGGGAGATTTAACATAATACCACAATTATTTAAATTATTTTCCTTCTTCACTGCTCATTGGTCTTTGTGTAATTTTTATAGAAAATCATCAAATAGGATTAATATGTCGAAACATTAAACCACTCATTTTCAGTATTCAGTACACTGTGAATCTGTGATATAGTAGAGCCATATTAAATGTAGTGGTTACTGGATATAAAAAAGGGGCCATGTTATAAATATTACTAGGTACTAATTATTATTATTTTAGCTATGGACAAAAAGTGATATTTTTTAAAAATTTCCAAAAATGTGACTAATAAGCATTATACTGCTAAATTACCCTTAACCCCTAGTGACTTATCTAATAGTGACCTAATCCGCCAGTGACCAGTATGTGCTGCCGGCAGTGAGCAGTCCCCCACCGCCGCTTCCGCCAGTGACCTGTCCCCCACCGCCGCTGCCAGTGACCTGTCCCCCCCCCCCCCCACTGCCAGTGACCCGTCTGCCCCCGCCAGTGACCAGTACCCCACCTCCGCCGCCAGTGACCAATTCACACCCATCCCGCCACCACCAGTGACCATTCTCTCGCCGCCGCCAGTGATCAGTACGCACTGCCGCCAGGGAACAGTCCTCTGCTGTCGCCAGTGACTCATCCCCGCCCCCACCAGTGACTAATCCTGTGCAGCCGCCAGTGACTCATCCCCGCCCCCACCAGTGACTAATCCCGTGCCGCCGCCAGTGACCAGTCCCGTTCTGCCGCCAGTGACCAGTCCCCCACCGCCACCAGAGATCAGTCCTCCACCGCAGCCAGTGACCAGTCCTCCGCCACCGTCACCACCCAGTTCAAACCACCCAAACATGCACCTGCCTGCATCCCCTTCTCCAACTGTACCCAGCCGCCTACCTCCTCCCCCACAGCCCTGACCTATCCCCGTCACGATCAATCCCTAACCAACCCAGCCCTAGCCGCCACTGCCATCGCCAAATCGTAGCTACGTCGCAATCCTGACCAGCCCTAACTGCTGCCACTCCTTGAGCTCTGTCGCAGTCCCCAACAACCACAGACCTAGCCGACGCCACAGATCTTTATCCTAAATGCTTCCATCGCCGCCGATCTGAAGTTGTAGTTATCTCCTACGTCTGAGACTCATCCTCGTCACCTCTAATCGAACAGAAATTAAAAGAGGAGAAGAGCAGAGGGTGGCGACCTAGAAGCAGAGCACACGACCTAGAGCAGAGGCGGAGAACACAACATGGAACCGGAGGCGGCGACCAGACAACAGAGACAGCCGGTGGAAAATGATGGATGCAGCGAAATGGTTTGTTGAATGGAGAAGGTTTATGCGCTGGGTTGCAGACGAGAAGGGAGATTGGGGATTTGTGAACGGGAATGATTTGGGGGTAATTTTGTCCATTTAAGTTTAATTAATCACTTTTTTGTCTACATTCAAGTTAGCTCCTATTTTCGTCCACATGAAAGCCGGTGGTCCTCTTTTTGTCATTCTTTCAATAAAAAATGTGCTGATATTGCAAATTATGTTTGCATTCTATGATAAGCTTATGTATTTCTTTCCTGATCTTTATCCCAGATTGACAGGTCTGGTAAGATACCTATGCTGAGATTCCGAGATCGTGAATCATATGCTGGGAACAAGACAAAAGAATATGATGATCTAGCCATGAAGTATTTGTCATATCTCCTCTTCTTATTGGCTGGATGCTTTTCAATATATTCTCTAATGTATGAACGCCACAAGAGTTGGTACTCTTGGATTCTCTCTTCCCTTACAAGCTGTGTTTATATGTTTGGTACACACCCTTTTCCTAAATCTGTGTTTTTTTCTAGCTTTTTCCACCTGAAGTTAAATGTCTTATCTGTTCTCTAGCCGCTATTGATATATGATAGTGAAGTATTCTCTGGCACATTTAACAGGTTTCATCATGATGTGCCCTCAGTTATTCATTAACTATAAGTTAAAGTCGGTTGCTCATCTGCCTTGGAGGCAGATGACCTACAAGTTCCTGAATACAATTATTGACGATCTCTTTGCATTTGTGATAAAGATGCCTACATTGCACCGCCTCTCCGTCTTTCGAGATGGTAAGGTTTACTAAAGAATGATCTTATCCATTACTTTTCTGGTTAATTTGGTGCAGAACAGTTCTGGTACTGTAAACATAGCAATGTTTTTTAAAAGATCACAAGAATCTCGAATATTACTCTCTTATTCATTTACATAAACATATAGCATCTCTACTATATATAGAATTATAGATCAACCCACATTTTCTGTCTGCTTATCTTCTTAACAATTCATTATTGTGGAGTATTTCTCAATATGTATTCATTTGCTTATATGAGATCACTTGAAAATGAAGAGTAATGTCAAGTTTTTGCATTTGTTTCTTTGCCATGTCAAAACTAAGAGTCAGATTGGTACTCGAAGTTGCAAAAAAAGAGTCAAGTAAGTCCTTATATAGGAGACTCTGTCCAGCCATCTCCATTTGAGGCGGTTCCCAGTGGATTTTTTCGACAAAATTTTTTGAGCATCTTATTTATTAAGTCTAGTTTACTCATACCGAATTTCAGCTAAAAATTCAACCGGGAAGACATTCAAATGAATTCTTGAAGATAACTGCGCAGTTAAAAGCGTAGTTATCTTCAAGAATTCATTTGAATGCCTTCCCGATTGAAGTTTTAGCTGAAATTTGGTATAACTGAACTAGACTTAATGAATAAGATGCTCAAAAAATTTCATCAAAAAATTCCATCGGGAACCGTCCCAAATGGCGACGACCGGACAGTAAGGACTTATTTGACCCTTTTTATGTAACTTCGAGTACCAATCTGACCCTTACCTCCAAAACAATATCATTAGACCTAAAGAGTACCCTGGAATTTATCATATTGAATAGAGTATAAAACTATGATAGTTCTTTTCTTTTTTACATTGCAAGAAATATATGAAGGAATCCCTAATTCTATAAACCCTTAATTGTAATTTTCTTGGCTGTTTCCTTGTTAAAATTCTATTTAGTGATGATATATCTTGGACTTGCTACTTACTTCCGTCTTATATGTCTCCTTTACAGATTTGATATTTCTCATATACCTTTACCAAAGGTGGGTTTATCCTGTGGATAGAAAACGGGTTAACGAATTCGGGTTTGGTGGCGAGGAAGATGACAAGGCCACTAGTAGCACAGTCGTCACAGCACAGAATGAAGAAGAAAAGAAAACTAACTGATCCCACTCATTTTGATAGCTTAGCTCATCCCAAACTTGTTCTATTTTTGTTTTAGTTTTTGACTACTTTTGAAAGCAGATAGTACGCGTGAATGCGTGATCGCCTTTAATTTACTGGAGTGAGGCTTTTTTTTCAATACAGGCTGGTTTTGTACTTTTATACTACCGACTGACTGTATATTTACTCCCAACTATGTGAAGAAGGTGGAAGGAAATGGATAAAGGTTTTTAAATTTAGATAGCCTGAAATTGTCGATGCCAAACTTAGGGATGGCCTCGGTTCGGGCCGCCCGGCCCGGGAACTGGCCCGGCCCGCTACTGTGCGGGACTGGCCTGGCCCGGTTTTCCGGGTCCGGGTCCGGTTCGGGCCTAGGCCCGGGGGCTTGGGCGGTTCCGGGCTCGGTTACAGTTTTTGGCGAACCGGCCCGGCCGGGTCGGGCCCGGGTCCGGGCCAAAAACTGTTTTTTTGGGCTTTATTGAGTTGGGCTTGATGTTTAGGACCGGTTTGGGGGGGGTGGGGTGAAGAAAAGGAAAAAGAAAAAAAATAAACTAATCGGGTGGCTCGGCCCGGCCCGGCCCGGCCCGGAACCGGTGGCCACCGGTTCGGGTTTGGGCCCAACAAAACAGACCTGAGGCCCGGCCGGGCCTAGGCCCGAACCGGGCCCGAACTGGCCCGAGGCCATCCCTAGCCAAACTCCCTATTCTGCAAACTTCAATTAAAGTACAGTTTTTAAGTGAGAAAATTTCCTAAGTATGACTAAAACATGGATAAAGTTGATAAATAGGACTATCAACGTTGTATTCCCAAAATAGGATTCATTCACTCCTATTTTATGAAGTTTTAATCAAGTTATTCTTTTAATAATACCAAATAATTTCTATTTAGAAAATAAAATATGCTTAATCTTATTTTGAATTTTGTGCATGTTTTAGTTCTATATTGAACAATTTCTAAATGTTTGTTTGGTGTAGAAAGCCTTGTTCACTTGGTGATGGGACACAATTAAAAGAGTAACCGCAAGGGACATCACGTCCTAAAAAATATCACAAACTGGAACTAGTATGTTAGTTTTCCATGAGTTACGACTGCAAGTATTTTTTTGTCCTCTTTTCCTTGAATATAATTTACTCCATGTACACATTTCAAGCCTTTTAGAGTTTTAGACTTTTTGCATTGGAACCTTCTTTCTTATTTTAATGTTTAGTAATTCTACACTATATTACTCTGTATATGAATTAGAGCATCATCAATGCAATGTTTTCTGGTCTAACTTAAATGTGCCAAAGGTCATTTTTTTTAAATACACATAATATAAAGTGGAGTGAACTAGACATTAGATAAGAGTACTTTTTTTCCGTTTTGAATTAGATAAGAGTACTTTTTTTTCCATGTGAACCACCTCTCTAGATTACACAATTTTTGGTTTGTAGATGATTACAAAATTAACAATCTTCAACAAAGTGCGAACCACAAACCAAGGCACCATGTGAAGTGTGAACCACCACTCTAGATTTTTGTTAAGACATGTTTTCTAAAAGATCAATATGATAGGAGGAATAATCCAAAATCTTATATAATATTTTATTGTTTTATTGATTTCCGGGGTGGAACAAATACTTAAACAATTTTCATTTTCCATATACTGTTTTTTGTAAACCACATTTTTTTTGTTAATCTTGCCGAGTCATCAAGTTTAGAGGAATTTCTCTTCTCAAATCTCACACTTTCATCTTCATGGTGTGATTGGTGTGTCTAGCACTTCTTTTGCCAACTCAACAAAAATGAATTGAAGACTACCTACGTTGGGGATGTAAGAAACAGACAATGTCTAATTTGATGAGTTGACTTATTTTTCATAGACTAAACATACACACACAAGTATATTCGCTATATATGACTTTATATATACACAATTTATTTCTGTGTAATCAGAAACGGACCGGACCGGTCAACCTGGAAACCGGACCCGACGTCTGAGCCGGTCCGGTTGTATACTAACTCGTGAATACAAGTAAAACCGAAAAAACCCGCTAGCCTATTTTGAACCGGGCCGGACCATGCTATTTGGAATAATGTGCTCCTTTAGAGTACTTATTTCTTTAGCATACATAGAATTAATAATTCACACTTTAAAATAATACTATAATAGTTATTGTAATTATTTGAATATATAATGTTTGTATTGTACTAACCGATTGGGTATATCAAATTTCAAATATAAGCAAAAAATACTTATATACGTAGTAATACGTAGCATTTTTAAGTAATAATAAGTGCAATTATGTTCATATTTTTTTTTTTTGAAAAAGTATAGTATACTATATTTCAAATATCAAACATTTTAGAATATAATTTTTTTTATACATGTACTTCAAAATATCAAATAACATTATTGATATAGTTATTAGTTAGTATTTTCGATGACTAGTGTTACTATAGTTAATTGGTTATTGTGCATAATAAGTACCTTTTTTAATTGGCGAAATTCATACCAATAATCCGTACTTTTAACAGTTCTACAAGAATAATCCTTACTGGAAGTGTCTATACAAATAATCCGAACTCAAAAATAGGTCTACATAGATAGATAAAATTAAATGAAATGTTCCGTTTCATATTGCTCTCTACCCAATCCATCCATGTTTAGTGTACCGTACTTCTCCCCCTATAAGGCTATAATACTCTTATTCTCACTATTTAAACTGAATTTTCTCTGTATCACTCTTTGAACTGATTTTTCTTATCTTAATAAAGACATTTAATTTCTTCTTCCCACTTCGATCCTGAAATACCTCAATTTAAGAAGATTGTCATCACATCTTAATCACATGATAATCACCACATTTCATAGGATATTCATGTACTAATCTTTTGAGTTTGATTTTAAAAAAATGGGCTATAATTACTACGTAGTATATATTTATATATAGGGTTATATGGATTTCATATAAGAATTATTAATTAGGATTTGTCGATCTAGTTAGTTCATAGTAAAGTTGCTTTTGGGAAGTTGATAGAATAGATATCAAATTCTTAATAAAGATTTTACCAAGACTTAAATATTTTTTGTGATATTTAATATGTAGTATATATAAGCATATAGTAGTGACTTTGTCCACTCTTACCATAAATCTGAATTTGGTGTTTTTTTATAACATTTCTATAATTGTTTCACGGGAGATTTAATCTATCTATGTAGACGTATTTAAGAGTTTAGATTATTTTTATGCATGGATATGTTCGGTATGGATTATTATTGTAGAACCATTAAAAGTACGAATTATTGACGTGAATTTCACCTTTTTAATTATATAGATATATATATTAATATACTAAATTACAAACGTTGACCGGATTTCCTGGCGTTGACCGGGTTGATCCGTCGTGTTCGGGCTGACCCGTGACCCAACTGATCATTCGTCCGGGTCGCTTTCCAGTCTGATTCTCATAACATAGGTTTATTTGTCTAATTTGATGAGTTGGTATATATTACTTTATACACGAGCAAAATGTCAGTTTGGTACTCGAAATTGCATAAAAAGGGTGAATAAGTCCTTACTGTCCGACCGTCGTCATTTGGGGCAGTTCCCGTTAGAATTTTTTGATGATTTTTTTTCGAGCATCTTATTCATTAATTCTAGTTTACTCATATCAAATTTCAGCTAAAACTTCAATCGAGAAGACATTCAAATGAATTCTTGAACATAACTGCGCTTTTAACTGATGTGACTAAAATTATTTCTCTCTCTTATGCACAGATATGAACCACACAATTTTTATTTTATGGGAAAAGGTGCAAATAGGCCCATGTGCAAAAAAGGTCAAATAAGCCCTTATTTAGGAGGCTCTGTCCGGCCGTCGTCATTTGGGGTGGTTCCTAGTGGAATTTTTTGATGAAATATTTTGAGCATCTTATTCATCAAGTCTAGTTTACTCATACCAAATTTCAGCTAAAACTTCAATCGGGAAGGCATTCAAATGAATTTTGAAGATAACTGTGCTTCACCGATTGAAGTTTTAGCAGAAACTTGGTATGAGTAAACTAGACTTAATAAATAAGATGCTCAAAAAATTTCATCAAAAAATTCCATCGGGAACCACCCCAAATGGCGACGGCCGGACAAAGTCTCCTAAATAAGGGCTTATTTGACCTATTTTGGTTAGTACATGGGCCTATTTGCACATTTTCTCTTATTTTATTAATCTATGTGTAAGTGAATTGCACATATTCAATTTTTATGTAACAAATGGAGCATGTTAACTTTCAATGTCGAGAATTGCATGTCATATAACAAATTTTATAAATTTATAAAACAACGTAACCAACCCATATGTAGTGATATGTACTTTATGAGCACAACCTATATATAAGGAGAGTGTTAGGATCAAATAAAAAAGCCTTAACATACTATACGAAAGTGCAAACTGCATTTATAACCGCCTAAGCCCTAAAGTGACCTTCTATATATGATATCTTATGCACTTTAAACATTTTGTACCCTGATACTAATATTCTACATATCCGTAGAATACTAGAATATGCCACAAAATGTAACGAACTAAAATATGCACCATCATCTCTTATTTAGATTATATGCTACAAAGGATAATCTAATAACTAAAATATGCAGCCTCATATACGTAGTATCTTTTTCAGAACATCTTTCAAACAAAAACATGCTATAAGAATCTCCTTTTAGTGGCAAAACTTGGTGGACATATGATTGAAGCACAGATGATGTCTGGAATTAATGCAGGTGAGAAATTACTTATCCCAAGGATTAGTCTAACCTTGACAGATGTGAGGCTAGCTTTCACATTCATGCGTAGGAAATTTTCCTTGATGGTTAGCTATGCAATGACGATGAACAAGAGCCAAGGACAATGGTTAGAGAATGTGGGCGTTTTTCTACGACGTCAAGTTTTTACACATGGACAGTTATATGTTGCAGTTTCGAGGACGATGAGTCCGTCTGGATTGAAGTTCGTGATATGCGACGATGAGGGAAATAAAAAAAACACCGCAAAAACTGTTGTCTACAAAGAAGTCTTCAATAATTTGTAAAATTGTATGCGTATTAAACTTCAAATATTATTATGACTAGCATATATTAGGAGTTATATTTATTCTATTTATGATATGTAATATCTTATTTTAGGCATCTTCTTGATATCTTTCCTTTTTAGACTAGTCAAATTATTTATATAAACAGTTGTATACCTTGGAGAAATGGGACGTA